ATCTACCTCTGGTTACTACAGACCTAATTTACATGGAGACCAATTCTTGTGTAAATAAGAACATGAAACACAGGTGAAAGGTAACTGGTTTCAAATATCATCCCTATCATTACCTAAACATGACTCTGTGTAAGTGGAAGATTTCAAAGCCACAACGTTCAACAGCCTGAGGAAGGGATTGTATAAATGGCCAACAGGTGAAGTGAACACTGAGTTATCCTGTTAAGGACAGTTTCTCCTTTCTGGATCATCTGTCAGGAGTCAAACACAATCAGGAGCAGCAAAACATAATTAAGAAAGCTGTGTCAACAGCACAGTGGTAACCTGGCAACAGCACAAACACTGCCCATCACAGCACCTGCTCTTTCATTCTAACCCACAGGCTGTGTGTGCTTTCAAACCTCCTGTGTTCAGACACGTGAAGTATCGCTACGGCTACGGGTGACAGTCCCAAACCCTGACCCCTCAGCCTCACCTTGGGCTCTCCCTGAGCAGCGAAGCGGGTGCGCAGGGTGTCCACGGGCTGCACTGCCACGGTGGCTGTGCAGGCAGCCAGGCCCCCGCAGACCAGGTGCACGAAGGAGCCGCGGGCGCTGTACGAGGTGACGTTGTGCACCAGCTCTGTCAGGCTCTCAAACGCCATGAACTTCCAGGAACAAACGGACACAGGTCAGGAAGTTGATTCTTCTGACTCACACGGATCTCCCACTCCTCTCTTGTTTCACCAAGAGCTCCGCCCCCCTGCTTGCAACCACCTTCTCTGTCTGTCCTTCAAAAGTCCTCCCCAACTTGCAACGTGTAAAAGTCACTAAGCAGCCCAGGGAACACCTGGGATATTCTGGTCTCTGACACTTCTGCTAATTCTTGCATTTGGAATCATGAAAAACTCACTTTAATGCTCTGTGTACCCTGAAGAGCATTTACTGTGTTACAGATACACTGTCGGTTACCCTTTCAACCACTGCTCAAAAAACTATTCTTAATATTTACAAATTAACAAGAAACATGCTGTGTAAAACACCCTCATCAGCTTCACTAATTTTTTCCTAACAAGTCCTTATAGTGACAGCACGAACAAAAGCAAAAAACTACCCTGGCTTGGGACATCAACAGTGTCAGGAGTAAACAGGGCTTGCCTGTGATACCAGATATAGCCAGAGCTCAGTTTGCTCTTGTTGTGCTTCTGGCTGCTCAGCAAGCTCAGGAATTATACATCAGCTTTATACAGCTACACATCCTCGAGACTGGCACTAGTTTGTGTCAGTGCAGTGTAAGCCTGGGCCTTCCCACACCTGCCCACGCAGGGAAGGGAGTAGGGCAGTGCCCTGTGTGCTCACACTGGGCCCAGGTGATGTCAGGTCACCTCACCTGAACAGCTCCGTAGCCAACTGAGAGGAACTGAGCGGGAACATGGCCCTTCCAGAAGGCTCCCAGGCCCTCCTCCCGGAAGATGCGCTGCACAGCTTGCAGGATGCCGTGGTACTTGGCCGTGGGGTTTCTGGAGGAGAGCTGCTCGATCTGGAGCTGGAGGAGAAGGGAGAAAATATTTTCCATTTCACACTTCAACAAGGTTCAAGCGTCCAGTTCAGGAATCCACAACCCTGTCAGCCAGCCAATGCTAAAATACGACATTCTGCCATCCCACAGAACCACACCCAGATCTGACTGGGATGTTATTTATGTGGGGCTCCAAAAGAATAAAAACGTGCATGAACACGAAGGTAAGCAAGTAGGGATGGGGGTGAAATTCAGTCAGGTAGTGGAAACCATTCACAAAATCAGAGAAGGAGAACAAACTACGAAAAACACGCGATCCCATTCAAAGGGATCCCATTCCCGCACCAGTTAAGTTATGTAAGTAGAACCGTTGGTCACAAGACAGCCCTGTTACCTTGGGTAACCTGTACACACCGCCAGTGAGGGCTGAGAAGCAGATTTAGTGCTCTCTGGCTGCACAAGTGACCTGTTCACCCGGGACAGGATCCGCTCTGCTCCCTGACAGGCTCTCCCACCCGCTGCCCCGGAGCACGCCGCGAGCGAGGCACCTGAAAGCGGATCTTGAGGACATCCAAGGGGCTGATCAGGACCCGAGTGACCAAGCCGGACGCCGACCCTGCTGCGGCCGCTTCCACCGTGGACACGCACTTGGCCTCGGGGTCGTAGCCCACCATGCCTGCCGGGTGTCCTGGGCAGGGGGAAGGGGCTGTGAGCCCTCCTCACACACGCGGCTCCGTCCCGCACCGAGTCCACAGCCTCCCCCCCCGCACGGACCCTCCACCCCACAGCCCCCTCCTCGCCCCGCAGCCCACACAGACCGGCCTCACCACCACCCCCGCGTCCCCACAGCCCCGCCCGTGGCAGGACCGGCGCGGGTCGCAGCGGATCCCCGGTGCCACCGGGGGTGTCGCGGCCCTGGGCCGGGTCCCGCCGCGCCGCCTCACCCACCGGCTCCGCACTGCGCCTGCGCCGCGCGGGGGCCGCTGGGAGGTGTAGTCCCGGGAACGGCGCCCGCCCCGGCTCCGCAACGTGTGCTGGATGGGGCGTTCACGGGACCGCGGGGTCAGCGAGGCTGGAAAACACCTCTGGGATCATCGAGTCCAACCTATGACCGAAAATCATCATCTCAATCAAACCATGGCACCACGTCCAGTCTTTCCTTAAATATCTCCAGGAACGGGGATTCCACCACCTCCCTGCACAGCCCGTTCCAATGTCTAATCACCCTTTCTGTGAAAGAATTCCTCCTCATATGCAACCTCCTCTGGCACAGCTTGAGCTTATAACTTCTTGTCCTGTCCCTTGTTCCCTGCGAGTAGAGCCCGACCCCCCTGGCTCCCCCCTCCTGTCAGGGAGTTGCAGAGCCAGAAGGTCCCCCGGGGCCTCCTTTTCTCCAGGCTGAACCCCCCCAGCTCCTTCAGCTGCTCCTGGTACTCCAGACCTTTCCCCAGCTCCATTCCCTTCTCTGGACACAAGAAGAGCAACACAGCCCTGCACGGTCCCACGAGCCAGAGCCACGAGAGGGGAAGGTCAACTTACACAACTGCGGCAGCTACAAATGCTTTCTTGCCTCTATAAAGCACAGGGGAAACAGGGTTGTCTAAGCTACCCCAGGAACAGTAGCACACCACTTCGAGCAACATGTTCTCTTATGGCATAACAAAAAAACCCAAGGGCTCTGAAACACACTGCAAATTTTCCATACTAACTTCTGGCACAAATACAGATCTAATCATAGGAATATCCAGGCATTTCTGAGCAACCACCTTGACATCATCATTTGAACATAATAACCAAGAGCAACTGTTTAAAGAACACCCAAGCTCTCCTGTGGGGCCTTTTCCTGACATGTATCACAATTGACTACAACATTCACATTACTCACAGGCATTTTCTGACCATAAGAAAAGGCTGGGGAGAAGCTGCAGAGCCCACGGACCAGCCGCTCCTGACAGGTGACCTCCCAGCCTGCCTGCACACCTTGTGAGCACAACTGAGCAGTTCTATAGGCATCAGAAGTGAAAATCTGCAGGGCACTGATGGAGCAGAGCCAAAGCCACAACAGCCTGAGCTCACACCAGCCATACACCCACCTTCCTGTCTTCAGGAAGACACTCCACAAGTGTCTGAACAACGATGCTCAAGAGTCTGAGCATTTTCAGGCCAAAGCACACCTTGCAGCTTTTCCCTCCCACAGCAGTTTAATATCATAAAAATTATCTCAATCATATTTTGGTCAGTTCACTGAAATAACAGACAGATGCTCAAGTGAAGAATTCAATGTATATTTATTATTCACAGTTAATTACTATCTACCAAATGCTGCTGCAGAGTTAAAGGATTAAGTACATAGGCCTTTTTTTATTTAAACACTGATTTTTTTTTTAATATATATACACACACAAGACATATGTCTGCAAGGCTGCATGATATACACCAATTCCAAAATAAGGAAACAATCAAATGGTCCAGGTGTAGAATGCCATAGATTCCTTTTCCAATCACTTTACAAAGAGGGAAGAAAGTGAGTTGACAGCTAGCAAGGAGAGGGGGAGAAAGTAATACTCTACAGGATAGCTCTCTCTTTCATTTGCTGGAAAATTAAAGTGTAAGGCAGAGTCCATCTCAGGAGTAAAACACTTGTAACACTTAGTACAAAAAAAGGCACCCTCCAACAAAAGATTGCCCGTGCTCAGACAGGGCGGGAGGAGATCTCCGCTGCAGGTTTGGATTCGTTGGTGGGGTGAAGGGATCCAGCCAAATGGCCACCAAAGGAAAAATAATGCAACTGAAGATTGGCACAGAGCGTGGTGTGGATTGATTGCCTTCCTTCCGTCCAATTCAATGTCAAACTGCCCCGGTGAGGAGCAAAGGGCCGCCAGAGCCGCCCCCGGGGTGCGGGTGGGGAGAACAGTCACGGTCACACACAGCCTGCTGTGAACGGGAGCTACTCCAACAGTAACACTGACCTGAGGAGGGAGGAGAGACTGGAGAACAGGGATGGCCAACTCCACTTCTCAAGAGCAACACGACTGCAAATGTTCCCTATCCAGGCCGAGGAGACAGGCTGGTCACATGCGTCACATAGAGACATTCACTAAGAGCGTAAAGGTTTTTCAAGCACTATTTCTTGAGGTTTCTCTGCGTCAAAGTTTTCCATCAAAGGAATGTACATTTTATAGGACATGTCAGGGCTATTATTCCTCAAATTCCCCCCTTAACCCTCCCTCCCCAAAATATTCTTCCTCATTTTCCCTAGTCATAACTTTCCCCTTTCTCTTACTTCTTTTGAGGCTCCTGGTTGCAGCTCTCCACCTCTGAGCAGCCTAAGTTGCCACTTGAATGCCTTGATTTTATTTTCCTTGGAATAAGGGAAGTTGAACAGTAAGACAAATCTGAAGATTAAAGCTCCATCTCTGTTTGTAGATTTTTCTCAAGTGTCCATTGATAAAACCACCCTCTTTTACCCCCTTCCCCCAAAGTATTTATTTACATGTAGGCAGAAAAAAAACCCCTCTGAAAAGCTCTGGACTGTCCTTTTAACTTAAAAAATAATAAAAAAGAAAATAAGGGAAAGGCACTATGGAAAAATTACAGAATGTGCTCAACCGTACACCTTTAAGAAAAAACAAAAAAGCTGTCAGCACAGCATTAACAGACTTCAGTTGTACGTTGGAGTTTCTCAAAGCAGCTCTGTGACTCAAAAGAAAAAATAGAACAAAAAGCCACACAACTCTTCTCCCTTC